CAAATCCTAACTCAACAAATATTTACTGAGTGCCTTTCAAACAGCAGGCTCCTTCTAGGTGCCAGGGATAAAACAGTGAACAATGGTCAAAAATCCCTGCCCTCACAGAGCTTTCTCTCTAGTGCTCAGCAAATATTTATGTCTACTCTGTGTCAACCACTGTTAAGCTCTCTGAATGTTTGCTTATTTAGAAAATGGGGATAATAAATTACCTTGTACGTTTGATTCCGACACATAGCGAGCACTCAATGAAGAAGAGCCATGTTGACATTCAGATGTGCTTTTCCAGTAACTCCCCTCGATCTACTGGGTGTCTACTCCATGGCCCACACCAGTCTTGAACAGGATTAACGTACTGGCAGAATTTATTCACCAAAGGGGCAAGAGATAGTTACAGGTTTATGTGCTATACAGAGTAATGAGGCGGTAACAGTATAGTGGATAAGAATAGACTTTGGAGGCACCCACCTGGTTTCAAATCCCAGCTTGCCCTTAAGAAAGTCATTTAACTGCTCTACTCAGCTTTCTCAACTGTAAAACAGAGCTAATAACAACGACTACACTACCTCACAGGGCTATTGTGAGGATATAATGAGTTAACACTTATAAAGTACTTAGAACAGTGCCTGGCCTGTAGTGCTATGTAAGTATTTGCTAATACGAATATTATTATGTATAAACTGCTATGGGAATACATCGGAAGAAGAAACTAAGTCTCCCTGGAGGAGCTAAGGAAGTTTTCTCCAAGAGGACATGGGACCTGGGTCTTGAAAGATATGCAGGTGCTCACGAGGTGAAGAGTAGGGAAAGGGCATTTCAGGCAATGAAAACAGTTCAAGCAAATGAGCTGACCCACAAAAGAAATCATATACATTAAAAAAATTTTTTTAAAGAATAGCTGAAGCTTAGTTGGGTGGCAGATACAAGCCTGAGGCACTATTTTTACCCATTAGCACATTTTAATTTCACTTATTGTTTCTGGGGGAAATGATAGTTACTCTTCTGTGTCAGTTATGAGTCTGAGCCCACCCTGACAACTTTGGAGAACTGACACCATACCATAAACCAACACTTGAGTAGCATTAACAATCTTTCCCCAATGAAACGAATAAACCCAATTTATACCTACTGTTTACTGGCACTGAAGTGCCCAACAATATACTGTTTGCAAAAGGCCCTCACTGAACACTTTCAATGTTCCCTGTAATGGGGGTGGTAACTCCATTTTATCTGAGGAAATTCAGGCTGCTGAACCAATTTTCCCAAGGTCACATAGCTAGTATGTCAGATAGGAAGTGGTCAACTACAAGTACAAATAGGAGTTTCTTTTTTCACATAAAAAGAAGTTAGTCATTAGTTAAATTATTCAACAATGCCACCAAAACACCTTCAATCTTTTCCTCCCCACCATTCTCAGTGTTAGCCACTGGCCCTCAGGCTCATATTTACTGTAATACTTCTTCATTCTTGTGTTAAAATCCCACCAGCCAAGATTGTGTCAAGTGTTACTTTTTGAAATATCTCAGAGGTCAGTTCATACAACTCAGTAATTTCACAGACGGGTAAATAGAAAGACTTGCTCCTGGTAAACTAAAGCACTAATTAGTTAAATGAGCCTGGACTAGAACCCAGGTCTTCTGGTTTCCAATTCAATGCTCTTTCCATGATGTAGAGGCTGCAAATTGTCTACCAAAATCTGTTCTCCCAGTCTTTCTTGGCACATGGCTGGACTATAAATTCTCAGCGTCCCTAGTAGGGAGGTGTGATCATATGACTAATTTCTCCCAAGTGTGCCACCAAAGGGTCTAGGCCTTAAGGCAATGGGCATGCTTCCTCCATGTTTTTCCCCTTTCCCACTGGCTGGAACCAGTGATGACCCAGCCTGAGCCACGCAGGTGATGACAATGCCCCAGAGGATGAAGATGTGTGCAACACGATAGAAGGGTCCTGTGTCCCTGAATGACCACTTGCAGCAGAGCTGCCCCACTGACCTGGACCGCTCACTTCAGAAATGTCAACTCCCCTAAGAGCTGTTACATGAGAAAGAAAACTGCTTTCTCTTCCAGTCACTGTATTGTTAAGTCTCTTTGTTACAGCAGCTTAGCCTTTTACCCTAATACAACCACACAGCCTCCTTTGTACATATTCAGAATAGCTTTCAAAAGACCAGTTAGCCATCTTTTTAGAAAACAGGCCTAACCACCCAAGTAGGTGATACTCAAATAATGAAATCCCTTCCTGTGGCTACTATCCCAAGATTTCTTCATCCTGGTTAAAGGGATACAGAAACTGTACTAAGCTTTTATTCGTTCATTCAATTAATTCACCAAATGTTTACAGCTTGTTTTCTAATGTGTGTTTTTAATGCTGTGTTGTCTCTTTTAAGCAGAAAAATCTTCTTTCTGGAATGTGGAACTGAGGCTGAGTATAAATAATTACTGAATGTTACAGAAGGCTCAAACCACATGCCTGGACTATACAGATGAGCTGTTCTCTTGCTTAGCCCTAAAATTCAAGCAAAATATTTTTAAGACTAGGAATCTAGTTCTCTTTTCAGAATCAAAGTATGTCCTACCCACTTAAAGTAGTATTTTCCGAACTGTAAGTGTCTAAAGCCTAGTCAAGATGTTCACTGACAGAGGTAGATGAGCCTAAAAGCTTGCTGAGTGTTGGAATTAATTACCAAAGTCATTTAAATAGCACAGCTGGTGTGATGGACTGGTTGACTCCACTACCTGGATTGAAGGGCTCCCTGCTCGTCTGGGGATTAGCTGAGGCCGGATGATGGAAAATAGCATTCCTCATCCTCACTCCAGGCTGAGCAAATAGCCCGAATCTGGTCCCTATGGTCCTTCCCAGCTCTTGAATGAATGAGATTTGTATGGTATTTAGTAGTCAAGTGAGAGGGAGAACTAAGGTTTGTCGTGGCTTTGCCACAACTTGTGACTGTGCAACATTCATGTTTTGGGGCCCAGTTTCTCCATCTGAACAAGAAGCTGAGGACCCTTCCAGCTCTACATTTATGACAATCACTAGGAAAGAACTACTTCCCCTCCCTGCACTTAACAGCAAAGTCATTCAGCGGGCAGCAGGCAGTAGGGGAAATCTGTATCAGGGCAATGCCTCAAACCAGGGTGCCAAGCAGATTTCTACTGAGTGCTCCGCCCTCCCCAGGCTCTCTGCTGCTGGTAAAGGAATTCCTTCTTGTTGAATTTACAGTTTCTAAGAATAGGGACAGTGGGCACAACCACAGTGCCTTGAACTTAGCAGGCACATCATAAATATTGGGCACTTTGATTTTTTTGCAAAGTATTCCTGATTTCTAATTGCCATGGAGACAGCAATGACTTCAATGAGAAGCTGCTGCTCCAGGTATTTCAGATGAAAGGATTAAGGGCTTTTTGAGGTAGGATTATTAAAACTAGTTTTTCCTGCTCATCCACTGAAGTTTTTTTTTTTTTTTTTTTTTAAAGCTTTAAAACATATTTGGCAACTTCAGTGACTAAGGTTCCTCCCTAAAAACAGTCAGCTCCAGCTCTGATGTCTACTGGCCTCACCTTAATTCCACTCTGCCACTTACTAGCTGTACTCCTTTGCTTAGCCTCAGTTTCCCCAATTGGTCAACAGAGATAGAGACAACGTCTCCCTGCCAGGGATGTGTGAGAAGATCTTGTAGACAAAGTGCTTGGCTCATAGTAGTGCTTATCTCCACTCCTGATGGGAAGATGTGACTTTGGAGGTCACTGGAGCTCCTCCTCTAAGTAGTTAATAGACTGATTAGAAAAATTATACCATGTTTAATGAAAAGAACAAGATAGGGTGGATACAATGATAATCCTTTCTTTGACTAGAGAATACATTTATACTTGAGATTGAAATCAGTTAAAGGTGGGTGAGGCTCTGGAATTCAACACTCTTTGAAAAGGTCAATCTAGTTGGATGGTTCATTTACTCTACCTTCTCCTCTATGCAGTCTTTTATACATAGGTGACAATACATTTACCAAGAACTCTTTTAAATTAAAGGTCCACCAGAAATGCTCCTTCTGCCTTGATTCTTTTCCCTCCCCTCCAAAGTGAAATTCTATACAGCTCTTATGGCCTTTGATACTCTCTTACCTAGACTGCTTGTGTATAAATACAATACTTACAAACTCCCTGAAGGCAAGAACCACATCTCATTCATCTCTGTATTCCTTCTACCTAGACCAGGGCCTCTTGTAAGTAGATTCTGAACACATACAATAAACCTAACATTGCTGGCAATTCAGGACACTCTAGACAGAGGACTTCAACTGGAGATAAGCAAATCTCTAATTAAAACCCTCTCTGGATGTCTTCCAGAAATATATTAGGTGCTCAACAAACATTTGCTAAGTGAACAGACAGCATTATCATATGAAGAATCTGAAATCTGAGAAAAAGCTATCATGTTGACAACAGACGACATTATATATAAACTACACACGGAGAAGGGTATTGTCTTGGTCATCCAGTGCTGCTATAACAGAAACACCATAAGTGGATGGCTTTAACAAAGAGAAGTTTATTCTCTCACAGTTCAGTAGGCTACAACTCCAAATTCAGGGCATCGGCTCCAGGGGAATGCTTTTGTACTCTGTCAGCTCTGGAGGAAGGTCCTTGTCATCAGTCTTCCCTTGGTCTGGGAAGATCTCAGCGCAGGAACCTCACGTCCAAAGGACACGCTCTGCTCCCGGTGCTGCTTTCTTGATAGTATGAGGTCCCTGTGTCTTTCTGCTCGCTTGTCCCTTTTATATCTCAAAAGAGATTGGCTTAAGACACTACCTAATTTTGTAGACCTCATCAATATAACTGCTGCTAATCCATCTTACTACATCACAGTGATAGCATTTTACAACACATATGGAAATCACATCAGATGATAAAATGGTAGACAATCATACAATACTGGGAATCATGACCTAGCCAAGTTGACAGATATTTTTGGGGGACACAATTCAATCCGTGACAGGTGTGTGTGTGTGTGTGTATGTATATATATATATATATATATATGTATGTATGTATGTATGTATGTATATATGACCAAAGAGGATCTTATAAACTTTTTCTTTATTTAACTTTCAATAAAAATATAGATTTTAACTCAACAGTCAGTGATCACTCACAAAAGAAGCTGACAAGACCTGCTGTTCCCATGACAGAGAACATAAGACTTTAAGACCACATCATCTGAATAGAAGAAAATGGCGGTAGTTTTCTGTGTAGCAGTGCTCGGCCCAGACTGGGAGACACACATACCCCTCCCTATTGAACTGGATATTCTCCTTCCATCTTTGCAAAGGCCACCGGACATGGCTCTTAAATGCTGGATTTCAGCTCTTGATCATTCCGCCCTGAGGACCCTTTCTCTTTAAGCTCTTTGTCACGCTCTGGGGAAATACTCTGACTTCCTAAGGTGGTGACAGCATCTGAGTCCAATCTTCTTCTTTTCTTCAGTTGGTACAAGTGGGATTTGGATTTCGTATGTGCTAGTAAAATAAAAACAAAACCAACAACTCATGAGGATTTTCCTGAATTAATCCTAGAGGCAAATAAAATTAACTACACAATCCTTTTCTTTAACAAGATTAACACATGTATTGGTATAGCTGCTTGGCATTTTTACGGGAGGAATAAGTTGTATGACCAGCTAGCTAGCAAACTAGATCAAGCTACCATGTACCTGACAGACTGCCTGGCACGCTGCTAGGTGCATTATTTTACATTGCTAATCCTCACAACATGCCCTGGTGGCACAATGGTTAAGTGATGGGCTGCTAACCAAAAGGTTGGTGGTTTGGTTCAAAACCGCCCAGAAAGACCTGGCGATCTGTTCCTGTAAAGATTACAGCCTAGAAAACCTTATAGGGCATTTCTACTCTGTAACATGGGGTTGCTATGAGTTGAAAATCAACTCAATGGCATCTAACAACAACAATCCTCACAACAATCTTGCAGGATGGTCCTGCTTATTTTATACATAGGGAAACTAAGGTTGAGAGTGGTCTTACACTTTGTCCAAGGTTGTACAGCAAGTAAGCTCTTCTGCTTACGTACAGCTCCAAAAAGAGACCTCACTTTCCAGAATCAGGGCTCTATGGTATAAGGCCTCCAGTTACAGATGCATTTCATCTTGCAATGTTAAAAAGTTACAAACTCAAACCTCAACTGCATTACAAAGAGACGTCCTGGAGGACTACAGATGCCCTGTCCTCCTGCAGCACCCACCCCTACAGAGATGTGAGGAACAGAGCTGCCCTTCCCACTTCTTCCCTGTTGCCAAGATGCCCCTCCTGGCCTGACATCCCTATACCTGGTTCAGATAAACCAGCTGAATGACTAACCCACAAGGTTCGCATTCTCCTAGCATACAATGCTCCAAAGAGGTAACAAGCAGCATTCTTTTCTGCTCATCCCATCTGAGGGTCCACAGAAGCACTAAAGCTGAAAGGCCTCTGTTGCCTGATATTAATTTCTGATCTCTCACCCCTAAGACAGTTCCCATCGTCTGACTAACTCATACAGGCTTGTTTTTACTATATTGTTCTTCTTCAAGGAAATCTCATTTGGGAATACCTAAAGAGACAGACTACTAGATTAACCTCTCTTTTATACATATTAAAAATAGGTCATTTTTAAGGATTCAGAAGCAAGAATAAGGAAGGGGTTAGAAGTCAAAGAAAAGTTTACTTGGGAAAAAAGTCAGCTTTGTTCTCCAGCTAGAGCCTAAGGCAAAAAGCGGGCTTCTGGCTGGGCTCTCCATGGCAGCAGGAGATGGGAGCAAGGACTTAACAGATGGCACTATAGAAGGACTTACACAAGCCAAGCTCACAAAGGCTCACACATGTTGCTTCTCTAAGGCTATCCCTGAAGGAGAGTCTACAAATCGAACCACTAAGTTTCCTTTAGAAAAAACAATCAGACACTCTCTTTCTCTTTCCCCTTTCATAAGCCAACGACAATTGAGGCTTCTTCTGCTGCTTGGGCAATCACAGCCGTCCTGTCTCTGACAATGAAGTTCATTTTGCCAGTTACCAGTTAATAGAACTAATCATTCTACTGGTTGGTATGGGGAGAAAAATCTACTTCTATGAGGATGCCATGCAAAGCAGTACTCTCAACAGAAGGATTCCAGCCACTTGGGTAAACTACAAGCCCCACTGTGCCTAAAAAGAGTGAGCCTTAAATGTGTTTCTAAATACGACAGACATTCAAGGCTTGGAGGCGAAGGCTCTTTGGGCTTTGACTGGACGAACACAGAAATCCGACAGGGAAGTGCAACGTGACTTCATGGTAGAGGCAGACCCAGGCTCTAAAGTCCGAAAGACAAAGCCTGAGGATAGGGATGATCCTCGGTTAGGGGTGGGAGGTAAAGACACAAGCCTTTGACTACCTCCCATTCATACACATCTGACAGTCTTGCTTTCACACAGTCTCTCTTAACATCTTTTCATCACAGTTTTAACCACCACCACCATTTCAACATATTACCTTCAAAATTACTGAAGACACCACTTTTGAAGAATGTATTCAGAAGGAGTAACAGCACTTCTTGCTCCTTCCCACCTATTCTTCTGCTTCTTTGTGTCTCTTGGATGAGTTGCTTGGCTTCCCTTCCAATGCTATCTCACCCCCACTGGGTTCTAAACAGGAAAGGCCAAGCAACTCCTGTAAGGCGGGATCATCAGGTCAAAGGAGCTCTAGGAAGTTACTGCAGACCTCTCAGCACAAAACATCTACTCCAGCTGAAGCTGGAGGGCATATGTCTTTTCCTTTGAAATTCAGAATACAGAGACAGCTCCCCAGTTCTAGAAAGCCTCCATGGAATCTAAGCATAGGCTCTTAAAGAGATCTAGCCATCCCTTTACAATAAGCAGACTCCATCCTTCAACCTACCGAAGATCTTAAATTTCATGAAGTCAATATGACCCCTACTCTTACAGATTTCTCTGTGCCTTTCTGCAGACTCTACCTGCCCATTCTCGGTCCCCAATGATAATTCGATCACAGAGGTCACACACGTGATAACTTCTCTTGTTCTCAGTTTCATTGCACGGCATCTTTATTGGAGTGGCTGCAGGCTTACGGCCCTGAAAGAACAAGGCAGGGGAGAGAAAAGCATCTGATTCAAAGACATCTGGGTATCATTCTCTGGTATTAAGGGGAGTGGGATTTCCCCAAGATTCCTTTTTCTCAACCCAAAGAGCAGGTGGGCAGTGAACAGATTTTAGCAACAACTGTTCTAAATGTGAAAGAAGAAATACAGCCTCCAGGGATCTAAAAGCAGCCAGCCTTCTTCTTTATTTCACAGAAGAGAAGGCTTGGCTCCCCGACACAGCAACAAAGGTGTCAGCTAAGGAAAGTTCTCTGAAAACCAAACAAGAGACCGTACCATGATTAATAATCACCTGGATGAAACTTTGCACAATTTCAAGAGCAGGTTCGAGAACAGACTCCTCCCATTTCGAGACATCCGATACCTCTAAGCCATACACAGGGGGGACACTGGGACCAGGTCCTAATGATAACAAAGAAAAGTTGTGAGAGGTCAGCCTCAAAGGCCCAAACTATGCTGTTCCCAGGACTCCAAAATCTTTAAGGGAAACACCTGGGGCGAAGGGGACAAACGTTCTAACCATGCTATTCACTCTAAACAGAAACATAAACCAAACAGCTACATACAATCCAAGAAAGACCTAGAAGGTTGAATGGTCTGAAGCCAGTAAGTCTAGCTATATAATCCAGAGACACAGGTGCAGGATCTTCCAGATCAGTCAGGAAAACAGAAAAGAGTAACAGCTCTAGTGACCACTGTGTGGGCTACAATTTAAAGATAGCATATCCTAGGAGGAAATAAACTAACAGCTTTAGGGAAGTGCCTGTTCTAAGTTTCATATCATCAAACAGTGATGTCACTCTGTGGCAGGAGAGTTCACAGGTTTCCTCAGGAGCAGACACTAGTCTCAGGTTTGTATATCCCTTCAGCAGTCTGGCATTCACGAAAGTCCTTGAGACCATGCTGGTAATCATGGGCTGAGAAAAGAACAGTATCAGCCAATGAGCCACTAATTCAAGAACTAGAAAGAAGCTTCAGAATTGACCTAGTTGAGCCCCCTCTTTTAGGGAAACGGATCTAGATTCAAGAAACACGTTCTAGTGAATGGAGACAAGACTAAAGGTATCAAAGAGGACAGCTACAGGCCATTTACCCATCTGAGCCGACCACCTTGCAAGAGTTTAGTTTCTGCTGGTAGCTCCCCAAGCTGATACACTAATGTGCCTTCCACAGCTAGGTGAAGTCAGTCGCCTACAAGCAAAGAGCATCACCCCATGGACAAAAACATCAAAGGCCTCAGGATGCCAATGGCCGGCAGGTGCTGGCCTTTTGATTGTGCCAACCACAAATAAGATTGTTCATAAACTGGATTGGGCTGCACCTGCCACCACACCGAAAGGTGAGACTGGGAGGGTGCAGGCAGCATCCACAGCACACCTGGCCTTGGCTAAGCTCTGCACCTGTTTCCAGGCCACTCTACATTTTCCTTTCTCCTCTAAGTCCTTTGTTGGGCTTCTGTGCCCTGTCTAAGCACCTTTCAACAAGTTCTCGGCTCCCAGCTGCTGTTTCTGGCTTGGGCCCAAGGCCAAGCTGGGGTAGGGAAGTCCCTCTGGCTTCTTGCCAGAACCATATCCCAGCAGACCAGCCCTGGCCAATCACATGCAGCTCCTGATTTACAGGGCAGCTGTGCCTTTCACTGTAGCACCAGGGCTGAGCAGGCACACACGAATAAGGAACAGGCTTATGACATGCTGCACCATCAACCCCGCCTGTCTCAGAGATGGCGGAGTTACTGTGGCTTTACCACAGAAGGAAGTTCCAAATCATTACAAAAAATGTCTTTTGTTACAGACTGATTGTCAGCCCTGGGGAGAGCTGCATTAGAAGTTTGTAGTACTGAACTTCAAGTTGAGCTGACGCTAATACTTCATCTATTAGGACATGCAGCGAAAACAGGGCAAGTAGAAGGTATGAAGAGCCTCCTGGCACCAGAACTACACCTGGAGAGCTCTAGCAGAGGGTAAAGCTGGGAGAGAGAACTGCAGCAATCTCATGGTCAACAGCATGGATCAAGGGGTATACATTCAGAGGCACCAGCTCTGAGGTGGATGTCTCAGTTGTCCTTATCTGTAACTGAAAGCCCAGGTCTAACGGCAAAAGGTAAACATGGGATGATTCACAGGCATATTTAAAAAGTGCTCACAAGGTAAAACTGGGATTTCACTTATGCTTAATCTCCTTTTAGCTCATAACATGCATTTCTCACCTGAGGCCCAATACTAATGCTGTCTGGCTGAAGTTATAGCTAAACGAAAACAAGAAGAGTGGAATAAAGCAAAGTGTGTTGGACTGCATTCAATACTCCACCGCTTACTAGCTTTGGCAAGTTATTTAACCCCTCTGGGCCTCCATCTCCTCTTCTGTAAATAAAGAATAATATCTACCTCAAAGACTCAATAATATATGTCTAGCACCAAATTTAGTGCCAAGGACATGGGACAGAGTCAAATGAATGAGAATTTCCTTCCCTTTACCTTAACAGAGCTTGTCTGACTAAAGTTAAAGTGAAGCAGCCTGAAGCACCATGTATCTGAACACAAAGGAGATGCTGGAAGAATCGGTGAAGGTTTTGTCTTTTAAACTGTTCATCTGGGCCAACAAACATTTTTAACTAGGAAAGCCTCCCTACAGAAATCTGATTGCTCTTCAGGTACAAAACCTGAAGCTAAGATCAGCCCTGAGCACCTTCTCTGCTGAGAACATGTTGCTATTTTGCTCTTACCTGTTTGCAGCACCCATCTGTTCAAGGCATAAGGCCGATTTCTCTAAAGAAAGACTTAATTTTTTCCTGAGCTATCACAAGAAAAATATCCCTGGACAATCATTTATACAACAGACCCTCCTCTAGGTCCCAAACCTGAGAGCAGGTGCAGAAACTAAAGTTAATTTTCTGGGTGAACTGAAGACATCCACATTCCTACTGAAAACAGACTCAGAGGATAAGTAAACAAATGAGACTTACTGCTCAAGAAACGGTTTTTAACCCATCGGTTTTGCTTCCGAGCATATCTCTTAGTCACTTGTTTCAGAGCCTCAATACCTGAAAGATAAAGTAGCTATAAGAACATCTAGGTAAGTACTTTTTCCCTTGCTAAAAGACAGGACCTCCCAGCCCAAGAGAAGAGAAAATCAGCCTACAGTAGCACACTGTTAGACTTGGACAGAAAATCTGAATTATGAACTGAAGGTCACTTGAGACTCTGCTAGGCTCAGCTTTCTCAGACCATACCAGTAGGGTACTCTGCCAACGAAGGATGCCCAAGGCTAGGGTAGATGAAGGAATTCACACCTTTCTTTAGGAGCTGGTTACTAATCTCTGGTGTGCATTTTCCTTCAGTGGTCAGGTACTCGTGAAATTCCTTGAAGCCAATTGATTGGAAGATGCCATGTTGATAGTCCTGGCTGGGAACAGGAGAGCATCAGCAGATGAGCCATTGCATCTGAGGGCCAGCAGGGACCTTGAGATGATCTAGTTGAGCCACTTCATTTTATAGACAAGGAAATTGAGATCTTGAGTTCTCACTGCCTCTCTGAAATCCTCCCCCGCCCCCACCAGCTCCCAGGTTACTTCCCTTGAAAATTATTTCCTGAGAATGTCTGACAGATTAGAAAATTGCAACTGTAGCAATTATACCAAACCTCCTTCCAACAAGCCCTGCTAACGCCAAGGACAAAGGCTAATAAACAAGTAGATCCAAAGCCAGTATTATGTCTATTGTCTTTTGAGAACATCAACAAGGGCTGGATGGTAGGTAAAAGTAACAGCCAAATCCTCACCTATTTTCAGCTACTTTCTTCTGATTATAGCACCTGTGAAAATTTCTTAGTTCCTCCACGAGCCCAGCAGCAAGCATGTCATCTACCCTCTTATCCAAGCGCTCATCTAGAACTTGAATCAAATTAGCCCATGAACCAGCAAGCATACTGTAGGTGTTTGCTGTACATTTACATGGTGAACAGACAGGCAATACAAAGAGGAAAATTTGTACACATGAGAGAAGGGATTCAGATTTGAAAGACTAGGTAATAATTCAGATTATATTTGGTCACACTTAACACTCTGTAACTCAAAAAACAAAACAAAACCCAGTGTGAATGAAGCATATGCCTTCTTACTATATAAAGAGAAAGCATACACTTACAGCTATTTTTATGATGGACAAGTATTTCATTCTTGTATGGAATGTCTATCCATTGTGTTCTAGAGGCAGCTGAGGGCCTCCTGGTTTTCCCTCGTTTCTTCTTCATTATATTTGTTGCTCTAACCTTTTGTTATTTCACATTTAAGGACTCTAAAATGACACATCTGGGATAGAAAAAAGGGACTTTAATCTAAACCATTCTAGGCATATCTTGAGCTACGGAGCCAGACAAAGGAGCAAAGAGTAAGAGGTCATAATCTGTCAGATGTGGTGGGCAAACATAGCTTTATTATGAATCAGATACCATTATCTTATGCTGGAATTGTACAAATTTTTATTTACAAAAATTTCATTAAAAAATTATATTTTTCTATAAATTTGTAGCTAAGATTAATTTAACATCAATTTTTCACCATTTCAGTTATGCTCTTTTATCTCTCTTCCATTGCTACTTCTCGGCCTGCAATGATAGTAACCCTTTTTCCTATCTCCCTATAAAGTTTGCATTTTTTGTGGGCTCACTGTGTCAGGCACATTCTGAGCATTTTATATGTATTAATTCATCTAGTCCTCAATGAAGCTATGAGATATGCCCTACTTTCCCCATTTTACAGAAGAGGTTAATTGGGGCACAGAGAAGTAAACCACGTAATTTGTCTTAAACTCACACAGCCAGAAGATGGTGGAGGAAGAATTTGAATCCAGAGAGTCTGGCTGACAGCCCATGCTCTTAATCGCTAGACTATACTGTGCATCCACACAATAATCTCATCCTCCCAGACCTAGCTCATAGGTTATCTTTATGGATTGGTCTCTGACTTTTCAGGAGAATGCTCATCATCCCTTCTCTGTGCCCCTACAGCACTCTCTAGGCCAACGCTTATCACACTGCAGTATTTATCTCATCTGTCACCCCACTAGATTAGGAGCTCCTTAAGAGCAGGCACTGCCTCTTAGTCATTTCTGAAACCCAAGTACCATGCAGCACCCTCAACATTTCCTTGAATGTTCACTTAATGTTGGCTGAATACTCCTATTACATAGCATTATTATACTTTAGTAACAAAAACCCCACCAGGCTAGCTAGCTAACCATTATACCCACTTCTCAGACCTACTGCTTCTAGAATGATCAGTGATCCATCCATTCCTGGGGGTCAGACATCCTTCCACAGGAGCATTCCTTCTCTTTCTTCTTTAGACATTCCCTAGATGGCAGTCTCTTTCCCACCCCACCCGTCCCATCCTACCCCACTCCTGGTATCTTATCCTAGGCCAGGGCTATCCTGCCTCCCTTTCCAGACATTTACATTTACCTAGGATAGGGAATGGCACTGTGCCTTACTAAGTCAATGAATAATGACAACAAAATTAATAACTAACACTTCTTCACTTCTTTAGTGCTTATTACGAGCCAGACTGTTCTAAGCATTTTATATATAGTAATATACACACATATATAATACATATGTGTGTGTATAAAATTTATAGATGGACTTCCCAGGGCATCAAAGGGCCTTTACCTGTCTGGTCAGCATGAAGCCAGAGGATGCAAGGGTTAGGGAACTTCAGAGGGCCTCCAAGGGGACCACCACCTTCCTCTGCATGTTGTCGATGAAGACATTCACTATGAGAGATTCCTGTTTCTTCAAATACTTGCAAGCTCCTAAGTCATTTTAAAAAGCAGGGGTGGTGAGGGGGGAATACACCCATAAAAAACATTAGGAAATATTCATTCTCAAGTGATACAAGGAAAGAGACTGCTTATCATAGAAAGCTTCATTCTTATTCTCATTGCATAAGGCCCTGAAGACGTGAAGGTTCAAGGTTTCTCCAATCCTACAGCTACTCAGAAAAGAGTCCTAAATAAAACTTAAGGTAAAGTAAGAATAATACTATTCTCCTAAACACACATAGATTTCTCTGATCAGTTAAACAGATTCAGAAACAACAGGTTTCCTCTACACAGATAGAATGGGACTCATTTCACTTTCAGGTAAGCAGTCAAAGAGCTTGTTTAGGACACTTCATTACAAGCCAACAAGTCTAGTCTGGCTGGAGAGCCTTTCCCACAGTACAAAAGTATGTCGTATATCCAGTTGATCAACTTTCTTTTTAAATACGTCTAAAATTAATGAAAACGCTCCTGGCTAATTCAGGACTCCACTGGCACAAAGATCACTGAAGAAAGAACTCACATTCTAATTCTTAAACCACCATCTGCTTCTGTATCTATTATGCTATGCAGCACATAATTTAACTCCCAAATCTATATACTCTACCACTCTGGGTGATTGTAACTTATCAGCTTGAAAGTGATCCTTCCCTTCCTGACCCAATTCCACTTCCTGAAACCCTAACACAAGATTAGAAATCCCTTGTCTTTCTGTATCTGTGGTCACTCAAAGAGGATCTATGAGAAAAAATGTAGTACAAGCAGTCCCAGGGTTACGAACTTCTGATACACATAAAACCCATAGTTATGAACAAACCCCCATAAAGTCTATTACATTAAAAATTCAAAGTACATACAACGGTTTGTAATAACAAATGGGTGTTTCTTTGTAATGCATATCAAAACATTATTATTATTACTGTATTATTATGTTAAAGATGTTTTCGTGTACCTAGAAGTGTTTCTTTAATGTTTTTTATGCATAGGAAGGTATACTATACACTATATACTAAGACAAACATTTGACTAACTGACGTTAGATACTACTTAAACTATTCTGATTTACGTGCAGATTTAGGAATGGAATTCATTTATAATCCAGGGACTGCCTGTAATAGATATCTCATTTATCTGGAAGTTAGAATACAAGCCTCAAACCCAAAGAAAGATGAGAAAGTCCTCCAATCCTCTCTATAGAAGAGACCCTTGAGTTCTAGCTTAAAACTAATGACTCTTACTAAGACACAATTCTCAAACTCCTTTCTAGTTTGTTGTTGTTGTGTGCCACTGAGTTGATTCTGACTCATAGCGACCCTTTATGGCAGAATAGAAATGCCCCATAGGATTTCCTAGGCTGTAATCTTTACTGGGGAAGACTGCCAGGTCTTTTCTCCTGCAGAGCCGCAGGTGGCTTCGAACTGCTGACCTTTCGGTTGGCAGCTGAGTGCTTTAACCACTGCACCACCAGGGCTCCTCCCATTACTAGTTTAGAACTAGCGAAATGAGGAGAGGTGATAAGGAAGAACCTATTAGTAAAAGGAGAGAATAACAATGACCAAGCTCTAAAACCATGTCATGAAACAATATAAAAATGAATTTTTTTAAAAAAGAATGTTCATCATAATGTTCCTGAGTTTTCAAAAACTTTTTAAAATATTTCTATTAAAAGTTTAAAATAAAACACCTGGATACTTTTAAGTATCAACTTCATTTATCTAGAACAGGCATTGTGACCAGGGTGATATTTTCCTCAATGAGGCAAAAAAACTTAAGATACTGGTTTGTAGTCCTCCAAATCACAACCCTACCTGAAAAACCTTATTCTTTAGTGATAGATTTCATGGGGAGGCTAGCACAATTAAGAAAAAGATTTTCTAAAAAGGATCCTTTGGGGGCAATAATTTAAAAAAAAAGGATAAAGAAACATTGATCTAGAAAATATATTTGAGTAGGATACCTCATAACCCCTATCAATACGAGGTGTTACAATATTTAATTTGTATAATCATCTATGTTTTAGGTTCTTCATTAGGTCCTCTACTATATCAGATGGGATATCATTCCCAACACTGTAAAAAAATAAACCTAACATGAGGCTGCAATGTCAAAACAACCTGTGAAAACATGACCTTCTGAGTTCATTCACCACCTCTCTTCCTACAAAAAGTCTCCATGTGTAAAAGGTGAGCTGATCTATGAGACAGTTTATAAAACCCACCTCCCACAGGGAAAACTGCTAGGGTAGAACTCAGCATTGCACAATCAATTATGAAACCCAAATCACAATGCAAACGGCCTGCATGCCAGAAAAAAATTTATATGGCAACTGTTATATAAGCAAAGATCAAACAGAAAATGAGGCAAGATTACATAGGCCCTAGGGAAAGACTATATTGTATTATGCATTTTAAAGGTAACAACAAAGTAGGGTGCAACTATTTATTGAGGTAGTTGGACTGAGGCATTAATTCAGGGCCTCCTAACCTGCTGAGCTAGAACAACACATCCATCTCCACTAGCTGATATTACCAAACCTCTCTTGTCACCCAGGCAAACTGAAGAACTGACTGTCCCCCAACTCTAAAGGAATTTGGAGTCAGCAGGTCCAGGCTTTCTTACCTGGCCACTTTGCGCTTGTCATGTGGGTGCAGCTTGGTGGCCATTTCCGGGTCCACTTGGCTTAGGCGTTTGTGGAGTGCATGGCCATCCTCCTTCTCAAGCTCTACTTTCAAGTCAATCACTTTCTCAGTGTTCATCTCCCGGGGCTATTAAATGAAGGTCTATACATAAACTTAATTCAACAATTAAATAAACATTAACTGAGACCGGGTAAGTTGCCAGGCACTTTGCTAAGTGTTAGGAATACAGAATAGAGATGAATCGAAGATCTTGCAATGTAGTGAGAGACAGATTATAAACAAAGAATTCTAATACACAGTGATTCTAAGTGCTGTGAGGCCACAGCAAACAAAAAGGAAGCAGGACTTACTGTCTAGGGGAGGACTCAGGTACCCTGCTTCCTGGTCAGAAGTGTACACAAGTACCAGGGCTACAACATCTATCTTAACATATCCAGGAATCTAGTCTTCTCAGCAAGGGTGACCAAAGACTGGACCAGAATGAACATAACACAACAGTCTGCAAAGTCTCACCCCATGCAATAGCATCTCTGTAGCAAAGGTGAGTGGTGAAAACGTCCCTGACGTGGACTCTGCTGCCAGGCAGGAAATGCTGAATTAGACTAATATACTGTTAACTTATGTGGAGATGCTAATTAAGCCACAGAGGAGCATTTTTGCCACACACAACTCCTGCCTTCAGGCCAGCCTAGAGGAGCACACTTCACACACTGAGGTGGCATTTGCTTCAGAATATTAAGTAGGAAAATTACAGTTACTGTGTATAATAGGCAAAAGTCAACCTTCCTTCCACTAAAATTTGCTGGTAAGAAAGTGGAACCCGTTTTTTTTTCAGTGAGTTACAAGTGAACTAAACATACCTTGGTATTGACAAGAACCTTCCAGAGCAGAGACTCAATGTAATAATTTGTTCCTCCCACGACAATAGGAATTTTGTCTCGAGCAAATATATCTTCAATGTGAACATTAAGAAAGACATCACAATATTTTATATGAAGAAGACTCCTGACTCACTTGGGAAGAGGGTATTAGCAGGAAACCACATTCATTTGTCTGCAGAGCAGAGGAGAAAAGGTATAAACCAAGATGAATTGATACCAGTCTTCACTGTTTCTCATGAATTCTCAGAATCATTTCCAATCAGTTTGGAAGGAACGTGCATAAACCAGAGACAAATGCATGATGGTAATTCCTTCCAGTTCTAGAATTTCCTAGACCTTGCTGCTAAAATTCAGTTTTGTTGGTATTCCAAATCAGTATAGTGAGCAGAAGCCCAAGGACTCTCACAGAACCAAATGTCAGCTACTCAGAAGCCATCAAGTGACATCCATTACCTTGTAGGGCAAAACACAAGCTGGCTTTTCTAAGCCATGGTTCTTAGACTCAGTCAGCCTCCACCATTACACAGTAGTGCACATGTTTTTGCTACTTGAGACCTCACCAGATAAACTACAAAGCATGGGCTCTGGAGACAAATAGACTTCAATTACTAGCTCCAACTCTTGGGCAAGTTAACCTGTCTGAGCTCCAGTTTTCTCATCTATAAGGTTCTCATGAGTTCTTAAGAGCATTAAATTTGACAATGCACATAAATCTTCCTACCACAGTGTCTGGAAAATATTAAGCACTCAATTTACTTTAGCCACTATTGTTTTTATCTCCCTGCTACTCTGAATTCCTCTCTTTAGAATCTCTGTTGAACATATAATTATCTGCTTTAAGAAGAGCTTTGCTTCTGAGGATACTTGGTAAAAACCAATTACTTTTAATACCTAAAGAATCGTTTACACGCTTCTTTCCTTTGCTAGCCAGTCTATGGGCACAGAGATAGATAACCTCTTCTATCAGAAGCCCAATAACCCGTAAGAGGTTGGAGTGGGTGAGGAGAAAGATGTTACCAATCAAGGATCATAAAGAAGAATCACTGCCTATTTGTTTTAAAAAGAGAAACAGAAAACCTCTATTCTACCCTTTAATTACAGGGAGCATACAGTAAAACAAAACTTCAGCCAAGTAATACAATTAACAAAGGGAAAGGGAGCAAAACAAAAAGGGGACAGGGAAATGGTGAGGTAGCAGAAGAAGGAGATCAAGTGGAGAAGAGATGGAGACAGGATAGGAGATATATGGTGAGAAAAGGCTTAATTTCTTTGCTCAAAGCCATGAAAAAACTGTGATCTTCAGCAAAACCCTTCTCCTGTCTGGGCCTCAGTATCCAGTACCTTTATCTGTCAGATCAAGAAGGCTGACATTCTGATATTCTGATTCTAAGCTCTTCCCTAACTTTACAAATATCCTAACCTATAAGTGATCTGATTGTCATTCTCTATTGTTGCTGCCCTTTGAAAATCTTAATTGGTTATTTTGTATCAGTCCTTTCCAAACAACCCAACTGTCTTACTGCAACAACTTACATTTGGCAATATATTTTAATTTGCAAAGGGTTAACATATACATTATGTCATCTGATACAACAGCCTTGTAAAGCAGGTAGGGCAGGAATTTATTATCTGCATTTTAATCTCTACCCATTTGATAGGTTAAAAAAAAAAAACCTACTATCTCATTATTTTGATTTGCATATCCTTGATTAACAGCAAGGGTAAACCCTTTTTCATATTTATCACCATTTGCATGTTTTCCTTTGTAAATTACTGCTCATGCCCTTTATGCATTTTTCTTATTGATTTCTAAAACTTCTTCATATGTTAAGAATAACCATTTGCCTTTCATATGTTACAAATATATTCCCTCTGGTTTGTAGTCTGCTTTTTAAATTTTGTTTACAGGGGGCTGTTTTCCTTTATTTTAATTATAAAATATTCAATACACACACAAAAAAATATGTAACATATGTAAATTACGAAGCCTAATAATAAAACAAATACTCATGAGGAACCCAATGTAAGAAATGGAAAATTACCAATTCCTCTGAAACCTCTTTTGTATTCCTTCCCATCCCAACCTCCTACTTACCCTCTCAGAGGGAACCACTACCCTGAATTGTTTTGTTTTTTTTCACCATTCTGTTGCTTTTCTTTATTATCAATGCTGGTATGTGTGTATTCCTAAACAATACACTGGTTAGTTTTGCTTGCTTTTTAAACTTAACAACAGATAGTATCAACATGTATGCATCCTTCTGTATTTTTCCCCACTTAAAATTGTTTCCAAGATTCTTACACATTCGTTGATGTACATAGCTGCAATTTATTCTGCTGCTATTTCACTGCTGGAAAGTACTCAACTATATGAATAGAGCAAACTTCATACATTCATCTGGAAGTGGGCATCTGAGTGTCTATATGTTTTTGCTATTAAGAGCAATGCTATTATCAGAAAGATCTCCTGTATACTGTACAGGAGCTTCTCTAGGGTATATACCTAGGAGTTCTGCTTGATACACTTCTCATCAATACAAATTCTTAATTCTTACATATTCAAATCTAGCTATTTTCCTTCTTTTTAAAAAAAAATTATCTTTATAAAGCCATTTCCTAATATAAATCACATAAGTACTCAATTATATGTGCTCCCATTTGTTTTAAAGTGGCACTAAATATATAACTCTGAAATCCATCTAGAATTTATTATTGTGTCATATATAAGGATCTGACTTTATTTTTTTCCAAAAGAATTAACTGTCCCAGGAACAATTATTAACTACTTCATCATTTCTCCACTGTCTAAAAACGTCACCTTGATAATAAGCAAAAAATATACATACGTTTGAGTTTGTATGTGGGCTTTCTCTTCATGGCATAAATTTTTCTAGTATTATGTAGTATTATGGAATTTTAAATTGCCTCATATGCATACGAAAGCTTGACAATGAATAAGGAAGACCAAAGAATTGATGCCTTTGAATTACGGTGTTGGCAAAGAATACTGAATATACCACGGATGGCCAGAACAAACAAATCTGTCTTGGAAGAAGTACAGCCAGAATGCTACTTAGAAGTCAGGATGGCAAGACTTCGTCTCACATACTTTGGACATGTTATCAGGAGGCACCAGTCCCTGGAAGGACATCATGCTTGGTCAAGTAGAGGGTCAGAGAAAAAAAGGAAGACCCTCAACGAGATGGACTAACACTGTGGCTGCAACAATGGGCTCAAACATAGCAACGACTGTGAAGATGGTGCAGGACTGGGCAGTGTTTCATTCCGCTGTCCACAGGGTCACTATGAGTCGGAACTGACTTGACGGTACCTAACAACAACGTTAAGTTCCATGCTATTCTAATTATTATGACTTTTTAATGTTGTAATATCTGGCAGTGCAAGCCCCCTTTATATGATCCTTTTTCAAAAACATCTTAGTCTCATCCAGAACTATTTTTTTCCCGGTCCTCTCGCACCCATCAACAACTCTGAAATTCTAATTGTAACTTCAATATGTTTATAAATTAATTTGGTATCCCCCATTTAAAGAGTAGGAAGCTGAGGCTCAAAGGAGTTCATTAAGTGCATTACCCAATAAAATTCACACAGTAAAGTAGCAGTTCTAGGACTAGGACATAGATCTTCTGATCCCTAAATCAGTGTTCTCTCCACTAAACCAGTGCTTCTCAAATTTTAATGTACATATGAATCACTTGGGACTCTTGTTAAAATGTAGATTATGATAAGGTAGGTCTGAGGTGGGACCCAAGATCAAGCATTTCTAACAAACTCCTAGGAAACACTGTCTTCCAAGGACCACAGTTTGAGTAGCAAGGCACTCTATGTTTCAATCCACATAGTTCTGATGGGGATGCTCCCTCTTGGTAGTTAGGTCTTGGATGCCCCTGCTCAGAAAAAATTACCACTAGAAAGAGGAAACTTCTTGCTTGGCTTGGGCTGCCTTGCACCCACTAAGCCTAGCTGCTAGCTTTCTTAAGGATATCAGAGTAGTTGCCTTGTTCCTGAAGTCCACCACTGTGTAATTTGTCACAAGAGGATCCACAAAGCTGATCATGTGATGCTGGCAGATTCTCTGCTCTTGGGCAGAAACCTTGTTGGTGATGATGTCTAAGCCTTCATAGACCTAAGGGAAAGAAAATGAACATGAGAAAGTCATCTACCTCTATAAAAGGCACACTTGATGGATGGACTAGTGACCTATTCATCCCTCCAGCCAAACACTTGACGGACCCAAAGCACCAGGGCAGATGTGTTCTAATACAGGTACTGAGAGTATGGCCAGATCCACAAAACCCAAGAAGATAGGAAGCAGGAGAAAATCAAGCATTGGCTTTTTTATTAAATAGTAGCTATGAGTACACCAGTGTTCACTGTAGCACTATTCACAATAGGCAAAAGGTAGAAACAACTTAAATGTCCATCAAAAGACGAATGGATAAACAAAATGTGGTACCTACAAACAATGGAATAGTACTCAGTCATAAAGATAAATGAAGTCCTGACCCGTGCTACAACAGAAACCTTGAAAACATTACACTGCGTTAAATAAATCAGTCACAAAAGAACAAATACTCCATGATCCAACTCATATGAAATATGTAAATATATAGAGACCAAAGCTTATTAGTGATTACCAGAGATGAAAGGGAAGGGGAATCATTGCTTAGGGGTCACTAAGTTTTTGTTAATGGTGGTTGGATAATTTGGAAAAGAATAGTCGTGATGGTTGCACAACATGATCAATGTAATCAATGTCACTGAATTCTACATGTAAAAATTGTTGAACCAGCAAATGTTTTGTTACATATATTTCCATCACAATTTTTTAAAAAATGGAAAGAAAAAAAAAGTGTCTATTAGCTCAGACTTAAAAAGGTAAGAGGGTATGCAAATCTATGCCCAAGTGATAACTAATTCTGCAAGATTAAAAGAGGTTCTTTAGACCTGAATTTTAAGCATTTAAAAATGGACAGGTTGTTTTATTTATCCTACTTGTCACAAGTCTCCAGAAAGGTGACATTTCACATTGCTCATAGTCCTACTTCAAAATGCTTAGAGATTTCTTGGATTTCAATGGCTCTAAAAGGTTTTCAGAATTTTGTATAAGATTGGCTCAGTTTGTGAAGTGGCCTATCTACCAAGATACATATAAAATACACACATAAACACTTTGAAGTCAGAACTCCTAATACTGCTGCACTCTGGTGGAAACATTATCATCTATCCAAATTACTGCTTCAGGGGGTCAGCACATACAATCTAAACACTCACACGCAATATCCTGTCTGTAAGCTCTTGATCTGCCAATTCAACTAAAAAGTTCAAGTGTACTTTTTCTAAATGCAAGGTCTTAAATGGAGAACAGATCTGAAAATACTACTTTGAAAATAGGAATGAATGCTTTCAGATTAAATGTTCTCTCTGTAATCACTGATTCTACAGAGGGCACTGAACGAACAAATAATAAGTTCCATAGAGCCCACAAAGATTTTAAAAGCATTTTTTATCTCGCATTTCCCTTTACTTATATGGGTGTCAAATAAATACAGTACAGTATAATGGTTAAGAGGAAGGACCCTGGCGCCAGGCTGCCTCAGATCAATTCCTAGCTCTGCCACTTACTAGTTATTACTACTTGGAGTAGTTAGTTACGTAACTTCTCTGTGCCTCAATTTCTCCTTAGTAAAATGGGGATAATAATATCTATCTCATAGGGTTCAGTGGGGATTATGTAAATGAGTTAATAATACATGTAAAGCACTTAGTTCTTTTTGCCTGGCACACTGTAAGTGCTATATAAAGGTCATTATATTACTACCATTACCACTACCAATACTGCTACCAGAACAACAACATGAGGAGATAGAGAAATAATTTCAGTGTCACTATTCGTCACTCTGAAGCCTTTGGGCTCTTAGCTATGAGTTTATCTGCTCTGGAAGATATAAGCTACCCTCAACAAAATAAAACTGCTAAACAATAAAACAGCGCACAGAAAAAACAGTGAAATAGTCATAGGGAAAGAATCAGCTCTGCCTTTAACACATTTATTCTGTGCCTGACAGCAGAATTCCATTCTTACACTTGAATATTGATGGAATCTTAAATCATAGGCTGTTCTTTTCTGTGTAACTTGAACAAGACCTCCTTCTGCTTTCATGAAAGTGCTGTAGGGAATACCATATACTGGTGTCTTCTACTGTGCAAATTAAGAAAACTAAAGGGGAAAAGGAGTGAATAATTGTATGTTCCTCTCTCTCTCTTTTCCTAGAGCCCTTACTTAGTTGGCTCTGTTGTGGCTTAGAATTCCAAATGACCCAATGTTAAAGAACTTACATAGCAACAACTTGATTTTGCCAGTCAAGGGTATCTGAACTCTGATAAGTAATTTACAGTAAAGAGGATTCTCATCTTTAACACTGAGATTAAAGTTAAGGAAATGCATAGTTGCAAACATACAACTACTCCCCCCAAAGCCAAATTTTAAATACCTCTACCAACATGTTCTATCAGAGGCCCAAGAAGGCTAGATAAGCTTTCATCCTATAATATGCCTTTAAGCGTATCTTCTAGCTGCCCCTATATTAACGAGTTTAAGAAAACAAATACATACCTTTGCCAACAGACCAGAAGAACTGGATATTGCCCGGCTACTAATACGGAACATTTTGATCAAAGACTCTATAGAAGAATCCTGATCAAAAAGGGTAAAATGTGGAATGAAATTTCAAATTCTCATGGACTCCAGACTTTCTGAAGCCACGGAAGCTGGATAAACCCCTGAAACTATTGCCCTGAGAAAATCTTTAAACCTTAAACCAAAATAACCCCTGAAGTCTTCTTAAAACCAAACAATAGTTTAGCTTAACTAGTAAGGAATGTCTGCCTTGAGCATTACACTCTCTTAAGAACTACCTATATGGGATCATATTGATGACAGCAACAAAAGATTAGACAGGAAGCTTAGAAAGCAGTGAATTTATGTTAATGGAGGAGGAACAACTTAGAAAAGGAGGGTAAGAATGGTTGCACAAACAGAAGAATGTAATCAATGTCACCAAACTGTACATGTAGAAACGGGAACTGGTGAACGTTTTTGCTGTATATATGCTCAACAACAAAAATAAATTATTTTAAAACACCACATAAACATAATCAAACAAAAGATAACCACAGAACTAGTGTTCATTTATTTACTAAAGAAAGTGGTCTATTGTCAAAGTGCGGCTGATGGCATTAAAAACTCCAACAAACATTAGAAGAAGAGTGTTAATAGTTTAAAGAAAGCAGAGCTCTTGTTCATATAAAGAGTTAAACTAAAACTGTAACTCACGTGAAAGTACTAAATCATGGTTACCAATGTAAATTCTCATATTTGAGTGATTTGTTAACCCTTTCCCTTTTATGGTGGCGCAGTGGTTAAGAGCTCAGCTGCTAACCAGAAGGTTGGCAGTTCGAATCCACTGGCTGCTCCTTGGAAACCCTATGGGACAGTTCTACTCTGGCCTATAGGGTCGCTATGAGTCAGAATCGACTCAATGGCAAAGGTTTTTTTTTTCTTCCCCTCCTCCTCTACCATTAGATTAAAAGAAATTCGGCATTAAGATATGGGTGATACTGACTACATATCTAAAGATAATTGTTAATTTTTAAGTGCAACAATGGTCTGATGGTTACATTTAAAAAATAAAAAGAATTTTTAACTTTATTGTAGTATATATGCACGAAAGTATATGATAACTGGGATTTACACTGCAATAATGGGGAGATAGAACATAATTTACAAGATTAGCTTTATGAACTATTGAAGCTGCGCAATGGATACATGGGAGTTCAATCTACTATTGGCTCTTTTGTATATGCTGGAAATATATACTGGAAATTTTCCATAAAAAAAATTTCTTTAAAAAGATTGGAACGATAAAGTTTATGCACAATAAGAAACCAGAGAATACCAGCAATGAAATAAATTTTTCAAAATTACTGAAAGGGCTCATAAGGCTCTACTTCTTGAAGTGAATTGTGGCTACACAGCTATTTTTAGTTCTGGACAATCTATTGAACTATACAGTTATGAATTGCACATTTTTATGAGTCAGCATTAACTCAACAACAACTAACAACAACATGGCTATACATTATTTTTCAATTCACATCTTTTAAAAAATTATACCCCACAGCTAAAAAGCAAAAAACACAGCAAGATTTTATACGTATGCGCTAAGGATAAGTATCTAAACAAACCTAGAAACCAATAAATTTTCTAAATGTCACATTTGGCCCAGGTTTAGGTGGTATTCATATTTTAAATGCCACAATCAGGCTTATAATTTTATTACATGCCTAGAAAACATTGTTCCACCAAGACACGTTAGGTGTATAGCTGAACGATTACATTTCCTCTCTTTTCAGCCTCCAATTATAGTTTCAGTGTGACTCTACATATAGAATCTGGCACAGAACAGCCAGCACTGACTGTTGGGAACACAGCTGAAAGGATCTGTGCCATCTTTTAAAAGTAGCATGCCACTCTGTTCCATTTCCCAGACTCCCAAAGGTCACCTGTGGTCTGTGCATATAGAAATGAATTTGGATAAAATGCTTCTCTCTGCACAAATCAGATTATGACAATACTAGGAATTATCTCCCACGCGTCTGTCAGTTTGTCGTACTGCAGAGGCTTGTGTGTTGCTGTGATGCTGGAAGCTACGCCACCAGTATTCAAGTGCCAGCAGGGTCACCCATGGTAACAGGGTTTCAGCTGAGCTTCCAGACTAAGACAGACTAGGAATAAGGACCCAGAGGTCTACTTCTGAAAAGAATTAGCCAGTGAAAACCTTATGAATAGCAGCGGAACACCGTTCAAAACTGTGTCAGAAAATGAGGCCCTCAGGTTGAAAGGCACTCAAAAGACAACTGGGACAGAGTTACCTCCTCAAAGTAGCGTCGACCTTAATGACATGGATGGAGTCAAGCTTTCTGGATCTTCATATGCTGAGGTGGTATGATTCAAAATGAGAAGAAATAGCTGCAAACATCCATTAATAATCAGAACGTGGAATGTACGAAGTATGAATCTAGGAAAACTAGAACTTGTCAAAAATGAAATAGAATGTATAAACA